GGGAAGGTTTATGAATGATAAAAATTTAAAAAAATGTGTTTTAAAGATTTTTAATTTTGTAAAAAAAATTTAAATTCTTGAAAATCCGCGATTTTTTTTTTAAATCCGCAAACTTTTTTTCTTCTTTGTTTTAAAATGTAAACAAAAAGAACATGTTCACAATTTAAATAGAAGATGGGCGCGAAGCGCCCTAAAAGCCAAGTATATTTACAAACAAATATGTCTATCATGTTAACAAATAATGTATTTTACGTGAACAAATACGACTGTTATGTAAACATGTATTAGTGTTATCAAGTCTGATAATTATATTTACTGTCAAGGTTTGCTACCTGATAATGGTATTCTTTATCTTCTTTCTTCAGACTCTTATATGGAGCAGGTTCAGGCTCAAGATTATCTATAATCTTTAATCCCCATTTATCTCTAAAATCAAGATTATCAATAATCTTTAATCCCCATTTATCTCTAAAATCAAGATTATCTATAAAACTTAATCTATTTATCTCTAAAATCAAGATTATAAATATTCTTTAATCTCTATTAATCTCTAAAATCAAGATTCTAAATATTTTTTAATCCCCATTTATCTCTAAAATCAAGATTATTTTATAATAACACAACTATAAAAATTTCTATCTAAATTTTGTGGAATGTTTGTAATTTTTATATTTACCTGTAAACTTTAGGTCCTAATCTTGGTATCTGCCAATATCCATTCATAAAGTGGATACCACCCTTCTCCTTCCTATCCCTGAAATATCCATTCATAAAGTGGATACCACCCTTCTCCTTCCTATCCCTGAAATATCCATTCATAAAGTGGATACCACCCTTCTCCTTCCTATCAATGAAATATTCATTTATAAAGTGGATACCAACCTTCTCCTATCTATCCCTGAAATATCCATTTATAAAGTGGATACCACCCTTCTCCTTTCTATCCCTGAAATTCCTTTTCATTTAGTGGATATCGCCCTGGAAAAAATAACCTTTGATATATGTCCACCTAGAAAACTAACCTATGATATATACCCACCTGGAGAAACTAATCTATGATACATATATATCCACCTAGAAAACTAACCTATGATATATTTCCACCTAGAAAACTAACCTATGATATATGTCCACCTTGAAAACTAACCTATGATATATATCCACCTAGAAAACTAACCTATGATATATTTCCACCTAGAAAACTAACCTATGATATATTTCCACCTAGAAAACTAACCTATGATATATACCCACCTGGAGAAACTAACCTATGATATATATCGATGAGACGGTTGGATTTATCCGGGAGAAGAGATGATGCTTCTCTTGGTTCCGAGTTGAACTGTTTAGATATCTCTTCTCTCTCCTCTAGCAGATCTCTCCAAGCATACACCTTTAAAAATCAACATATCTATAATTCGAATGAAATGCTTCATGCAACATTTGAAAAAAAAAATTGAAAAAAACGAATGTTATTTTTATAAAGACGGAGCTGTCCATAATCACAGTATTATTCAGTCTTTTTAAAAACGCTTAAAGATTTATAAACAAACAGAAAAGACTGAATTAATTACAAATTATTTCATAAATACACTTATCAAAATATAATTATAAATACAGACATCAAAATATAAATATAAATACAGATATCAAAATATAAATATAAATACACATATCATAATATAAATATAAATACAGATATCAAAATATAAATATAAATACAGATATCAAAATATAAATATAAATACAGATATCAAAATATAAATATAAATACAGATATCAAAATATAAATATAAATACAGATATCAAAATATAAATATAAATACAGATATCAAAATATAAATATAAATACAGATATCAAAATATAAATATAAATACAGATATCAAAATATAAATATAAATACAGATATCAAAATATAAATATAAATACAGATATCNGGGACCTCACGTGACTCCAGGGAAAGTTTATGAATGTACAAAATTTTAAGAATTTGTGCTTAAAAGTTTTTTATTTGTGTAAAATTTTAAAAAAGCCGCGAAAAGAATCATAAAATTCACAAACTTTTTTGTTTTTGTTTTATACTGTACAGAGAGAAGATGCTCAGAGATAAAGTCAAGTTGAAATGAAAGATGGGCGCGAAGCGCCCTAAAAGCCTAGTATTAATATAATTCATCTACACTCTTTAGCTTTTACCCTCCTTTCAATGTAAAATCCAATAATTGAATCCGTCCTGTTAGATTGAACACATTGCACCTTGCACCGGGAACATTTTATGGTTTCTTAGAATTCTGCAGAAATACAATTTATTTTTATTTTATACGTTGCGCTTTCTATCGTTTAATTTAAGCAAGCTTTTAAATTAAATGGATAAACCTTATCAGATTTTTGTTGGGCCTCATTTTTCGAATACCTCCAGGTTTAATCAATTATATTACTATATCTCCAACCTTGTTAATACCTCAAGGTTTACTCAATTATATTAATATCTCTAACCTTGTTTATACTTCCAGGTTTAATCTAACTAACTCTCCAATCTTGTTTATACCTCCAGTGTTAATTTATGTTACTATCTCTCCAACCTTGTTTATACTTTAAGGTTTAATTTATATTACTATCTCCCCAACCTTGTTTAAACCTCCAGATTTATCAATTATACTAAACCTTGGTTACACCTCCAGGTTTAATCAATTATACTATCTCTCCAATCTTGTTTATACCTCCAGGTTTAATCCATTATACTATCTCTCCAATCTTGTTTATACCTCCAGGTTTAATCCATTATACTATCTCTCCAATCTTGTTTATACCTCCAGGTTTAATCCATTATACTATCTCTCCAATCTTGTTTATACCTCCAGGTTTAATCCATTATACTATCTCTCCAATCTTGTTTATACCTCCAGGTTTAATCCATTATACTATCTCTCCAATCTTGTTTATACCTCCAGGTTTAATCCATTATACTATCTCTCCAATCTTGTTTATACCTCCAGGTTTAATCCATTATACTATCTCTCCAATCTTGTTTATACCTCCAGGTTTAATCCATTATACTATCTCTCCAATCTTGTTTATACCTCCAGGTTTAATCCATTATACTATCTCTCCAATCTTGTTTATACCTCCAGGTTTAATCCATTATACTATCTCTCCAATCTTGTTTATACCTCCAGGTTTAATCCATTATACTATCTCTCCAATCTTGTTTATACCTCCAGGTTTAATCCATTATACTATCTCTCCAATCTTGTTTATACCTCCAGGTTTAATCCATTATACTATCTCTCCAATCTTGTTTATACCTCCAGGTTTAATCCATTATACTATCTCTCCAATCTTGTTTATACCTCCAGGTTTAATCCATTATACTATCTCTCCAATCTTGTTTATACCTCCAGGTTTAATCCATTATACTATCTCTCCAATCTTGTTTATACCTCCAGGTTTAATCCATTATACNATCGTGATGTATACAACCGACCACTCTATTAATTAATTAATAGGGAGGTTGGTTGTGTACATCTGAGCTAAGCTTCACCTCTTCGTTTTATTACTCTATGAGGATAGTAAAATACAGGTTTTTATCAAATGCCTTATTATAATATATAAAACCGAGACGGAGAAAAAGTCCCAGACATAGACAAGACAAAGAATATCAATTTATTATTAAAGATGAAGCATTGAGAATAAAACAATAATTGTTTTTCATTTGCACAATTCTTTTGAATTTCAGACTTAAAATTGAAGCCTTTTCGAAGTTTAAAATCTTTATCGCCTATCAAAATATGTTTTTGTTGAATTGAACATATTAGTTACCAAAATATATATTTAATCTTTTTAGATCCTATGTACATACTGTACAACATGTAAAGCTATGCAGTTTATGCAGTACACCTTGTAAACTTGTAAACAAACATACTAGCAGTGACATCTATGTACATACTTAACAACATGTCAAGCTATGCAGTTTATGCAGTACATCTTGTAAACTTGTAAACAAACATACTAGCAGAGACATCTATGACAAAATCTATCCGTTCACTCTTTAAATCATACATTACGAAGATGTCGCTAGTTTCGATTCACGCACTCTACTTGTACTATCGCCTCTGCCTTTTTTATTCTGTTCAAGAGTTAATTAGGTATTGTAGAGGATGAAATCCCCGAAAGATGATTATAAAATCCGCAAATCAGTAGCGTCGGATCCTGAAACAAGAGATGACCTCTCATCTTCCTCTACTTTAATACTTGCATATTTATGCTACATAAGCACCGGAGGAAAGTAATTGAGTCTTTTCAACCTGATGGTGTAGACTTTTGATATTTCAAATTAACACTATTTGATCCAACAAAATTTTAGGTTAAAATTTCAAAGGTCTACAACATTGGGTTGTAAATATATTAGAGAAGTCTAGATCCTTGACATTAAAGATAGAATTAATCCAAATCATAAATTATTTGGTCTGATTTTTTTTGATTCGTTGTCTCTGTATAGAGATTTTGACATATTGCAATATTTGAGGCAATCTTTAAACAGAAGATGATGACTCATTTTGTCTCATGATACAATCTTATTCGGAATCTTTAAATTAAAAATTTTGTTCAGTTTGCGGGAATTGGTTCCCGACTGCTCATAACAGAAACTCCAAATTCGCAATCAATCTCTTTAAAGATGCAACCAGTTTAATAACTCCAGTATCTTTAGTATCTCTAGTCCACAGCTGAACATAAATATCGAACATGTTGCAATGTTAATCCCATGCATGCGTTTTATTACATCTATATCCGGGGTCTATGTGAGAGGGTTTATATCCTCAACCTAATCCCTGAGCGAAAAAATAAATCTGAGCAGACATTAAAAACAGGAATTTTAAATCTTCTTTAATGTTGACGTTAAAGAGAGTTTTTTTAACGGAAATTTTTAGAAGAACAGCATTTTTTTTATTTGACTGCCAGTTTTATTCTAAAATTTAAATGGATTGTTTTTGTAATTTGCGGTGAACCTCCATTAAAAGATGAGCATGTCTGATTATAAACGGTACCCTTGACAAGTTGACACCTTTATCTGATGAATAATGTGGAAGATATCGTTGTATTTTTTCTTGTTTTTATAGTGTTTGATTCAGATAATTTGTTATCCAACTAAGAAAACTGAATATCTCATTCATTCTTGATGAGAAACAAGTTTTTAAGATCACCGACACGTGAATCAGACATTAATGTAAGACCACTTTAAATTACGTGTACAGTCTCTTTGAATATTTAAACATACATGAGAATATTATTATGAATTTCTAACTTAAAACTGATTGTTTTCGACTGCAGTTTCTCCACCGTTGTGAATCGGATATGTCAACCAATAAATAAATCTACATATTTAGCGCTTTAACTTGAATACAATTTAATACATTTGCCTCTACGAACGGATAACATAGAAACAGGTGGCGTATCCCTCAACTTAAATTTTTAGATATATGAGGTCGTCTTTTACTGAGACACAAAAGGTCGTCTTCTTCCCGGTTTATACAAGAAAGGTCGTCTTCTGTCGAGTATAGCACAAATTTCGTCTTCTGCCGAGTTTAGGATGATTTTTTAAAAATCATTTGCGACGTCGGATGCTTCAGCTAGTTTACAATAAAACCAAACCTCAATTAATCCGCATCCTTTGTCTGAAGTTTCATAGCGGAGCAATCCAGATTCTTTTATTCTAAACCCGTCGGACAACATTAATGTTAAAAATCATTCCATACAATTAAATCCTTAAATTAAACCACAAAATATTTAAGTAAAGATTTAGCTTTTCAAATAAAAATGTTTTGTTGATATGAATATATGTAAATCTTCTGTAATCAAATCATACAAAGAAAATGTTCAAGATTACAGGGTGGGAGGGGGG